CGAAACTCGTCAAACTGAGCAACATATTCGGTCACAGGTCGATTGCCTTGCGTAAATGCGTTCCATTGATCTAGCAAGTTGCCCCTGTAAGATTGAGGTAAATATTTTCCTTCAAGGCGACGCTTAATTTCATCTCAATTCCCAACAGGGGGAGCATGAAGCCTCTTTAGGAGGTCCTCAACACTTTCCCAAAACAGTTGAGCTGTGCCAGTTAATTTCAAACTGGCAAATTGTACCCTCCGATCTTCAGGGACCCCATACCAGGCAAAGAAGCGATCCATATCTCTAACCCATTGATTGAATACTCTAGGATCTAGACAACCATCAAATGTAGGGACATCTAACTTAATATTTCGAAAGAGGCGCTCCTCATGGCGAGAGGGAGATAGTGTACCATGACGATGATATTCCCGCTCGTGTCCACGAGCTTGATTTCCGTCCCTACGATCATGTCTAGCATGGTGTTGACCACCTTGTGGACGATGATGAGGTCTATTAATGGAAGCGTCAGAATTTTCAGCTTCAGTTGAGTATTGGGTTGGGTCAAGAGTGTTTACCCTAGCGGTTAGGGCTCTATTCTCCTCACGAGTAGCGGCTACCTCAGTTTGGACAGCCGTTAATTGGTTTTGTAATTGTGCCAACTGTCGGGTGATAGCTTCAATGCGGGAAGGGTCCATGGTAAGGGTACCAGCACTAGACGCAGTAACTCGACCACTACGCAATTGCATACACAGTAACACAAGCTAAGTGAAGTGCACTACTGAGATCAACAAATAACAAGTGTCAAAAGTAGATTCGCAACTTGAAATTTTATTATTATTATTTGTTTGTTAAAATGGGATTACGTAAAGTCCGATTTTTGCAAGCAAATAATACTGGTGCAAATAAAATTGAAAGCAAGGATAGAAATGACCATTCGAAATATCTAAACACGTGGAGTAATGGGGAACAAAGGGAGTAAATTCACGAATTTCAATCAAGTAGGTTTAAGGTCACAATTGTCAAGTTACAACAACACAAATATTGTAGGTGATCCGATTTTAAGATGAAGAACCAATATAAACCAATAATAAAGAGATCAAGAACTCCTTGTCGTTTAGTTGCCCGAACTGCTGACAAGTGGGTTCCGAATATGCTTGCGGCCCTTCCTTCGCTTCAGTTATCTTCCACGTCAGAACTCACTTCTGTTGAATTGCAAATTATACTATCTTGACTCTGGCTCTGTTGTGGTAGGATGTTCAAATATCAACCAATTGAACAATAAACTGTCTCCGACTCTGGCTCTGTTGTTGCTGTATTTTGCAAAACTGGAGGCGTCAAACTCTATGATGGCGGCGGTTGGTGGCAGTATGAGAGGGGAACCGGTTTAGATGGAGATGAGTTTGAGACTACGACCTAATTAATTCTTGCTAGGTATATGCATTTTAGGATAACTGTTGCCGGCGACTAGATGAGAAATCGTGTGTATTGTTGACAAAGTCAGTAGTTGGTGAGTTGTGCGTGGATGTCACGTGGAGCTGACTCGCTAGTTGTGACTGTGTGCTTTCATGTGGGTTTGGTTTGGTTGTTGTTGAGGAAGATCATGGTGCGCTTCTCAATGGATAAGACAAAGGATTTAGGTTTCAGGTTTATAGGGGTGGGGTGATCGGAGTTCGTAGCGGCGGCTTTGAAGAATGTACAGTAGAAGTTGGTAGCGGTTGGCAGAGTGAATTATTGGTGGAGGTTTGCAACGGGGAGTAACGTGGAGCCGGAGAAGATGAAATTAGGGGAGATTGGGCCGGGTGAATGGTTTGGGGATAATTGGGTTTTATGGGCTTGGAGTGTAAATAGTGTTGGGATAATGAATCAATGGGCTCCTGTAATTGGGTTGGGAAATGGGGATATGAGGTGGGCTAATGTGGGTGATTGGGCTGGATAATTGTAAATAGGGTTGAAATTGTTGGAACAGCAATATTACTAACAGCAGCCACAAAGAAAATACGAATTTTTTTACTTTATTTTATTTTTTTGTAATAGACGCAAAAAAAAAAAATCTAAAATTTGGAACTTCGGGCATGAACAGTAACCTTTTTTTTTTTTCAACTAAGTCTGGAAATTGAAGGATAAAATTGCTGCCTTTACCAAAATACTTTTAGTTTGTGCTGTTCTAACAAATTTATGGGAAGAAGATACGAAGAAATTGTGGGTTGAGGACGAGAAATTACCAAGATTCGGCTCTAATACCAAATTTGATGCAGCACCAATGGGATGATTAATAGAAACAGAAGAAGATTCAGAAAGAATAGGGGATTAAGGGAGGGGAAGAAGAAGAATTCAATAGGAGAGGGAGAAAGATGCGCCATAAGCCACCAAATAATTATTGTTCATTCATCAACTGAAAATTATAATGTAAATTAGGTTTCAATAGTTAAGCAACCCTAACAAGCTTAGGCCCGAGCCCATATAAGTCCAAATCCTAAATAATAGTTCAAAAGATAAATAAAGCATAAATAAAGCGTAAATAAACTAAGTAACGTCCGATGTCCTCATCACATATTCTCATCTCCGGCCCTTTAAGTGTGTATATTTTGTTCATTTGCAATCACATGAAAGAACAAAACTCACACCTCAATCTATCAAGTATGTCTTTCTGGGATATGGTGAGACTCAAAAAGGGAACGTCGGTTATGATCCTACATCACAAAAAAATTGAATTTTTCATAATTTTTTTAAAAAAAACAATCCTTCTTCAGTTCAAAGACCGTTGTTCCCCCTCTTGTATTCTCTGTCTAGCCTGATTTCCCTCTAGAACCATCTCGGTACAAGCCAGGCCTTGTTTACACTCATGGACATGCTACATCTATCACTGGTCTAGATCTTCATTCTCAGACGACAGTCATCCCTAGCCTCTCTGATCCTCCACCTACGACACCAGATCCTGCACCAGATGATTTACCGCCTCCTGTCCCTCTTCGTCGTACTTCTTGTGTTCCTTGACCACCAGATAGGTAGGTTTTTCCTCCCATAGTTCTATATCTACTAAATTTAATTCGGTTTCTAGTCCTTCCTTCTATAGACAAGTTATGGAACATGAATGTTGGCAACGGGCCATGAAAGCAAAACACGAGGCTCTCGAGGTCAACCACAACATTGTGCCATGTCCACAGACTGTGAAACCTATTGGAAGTAAATGGGTATATTCCATCAAACTTCGTTCTGATGGTTCTTTGGAGCGCAATAAGGTTCGATTGGTTGCTTTAGGTAATCGTCAAGAGTATGAAATAGATTATGATGAGACATTTGCTCTCGTGGCAAAAATGACCACTATTCACCTCTTGTTATCGCTTACCGCTTCTCAATCATGGTCTTTACCTCAAACGGATGTGAAGAACGCATTCCTACATGGAGACCTCAAGGACATTCATATGAAACATCTATCTGGTATGCCTATTCCCTCAGCTAACTCTATGTGTAAGCTAAAACGCTCCTTGTATGGTCTTAAGCATGAACCTCGAGCATGTTTTGACAAGTTTCTAACATACTTTTGATTTTTCCTTCACTCAGAGTCAGTATTACGCATCTCTATCCTTTCACAAAAGTACAACTGGCATCGTTTGTTTGTTGGTATATGTAGATGATATTAATATCTCAGGATCTGGTTACAATCTTATTTAGAAGCTTCAGAACATCTCCACTCGATTTTTCATATGAAGATATAGGTCATCTTATTTTCTTGGCTTACAGGTTCATACAGAGCTACACGGTATATTCTTGAATCAACATAAGTATATTCAAGACTTGATCATGTTGGATAATTTATCTGAAGCTCCTCCATTAATACTCCCCTAGAGCTTAATGTTAAATATAGGAAAGACAAAGGCGATATTTTTCCAGACCCTATCCTATATCGGAAGGTGGTTGGAAGTCTCATTTTTCTCACTATCACACATTCGGATATTTCCTTCGCCATTCATACCGTCAGCAAATTTATGGATGCACCTCGTCATCTTCATTTGGTAACTGCCCGCTGCATTATTTGATATCTTATTGAGACTCCTCATCATGGTCTGTTCTTTCCTGGGGGACATCTCTTGGACTCATAGCTTATAATGATGATAACTAAGTTGGTTGCCCTGATTCTCATCGATATACTATTGGATGGTGTATCTTTCTTGGTAATACTCTCATTTCTTAAAAATGTAAAAAACAAGATTGTATTTCTAAGTCCTCTGCTGGCGCTGAATATCGTGTTATGTCAGTTGTCTATTCTAAGATTGTGTGGTTGAAAAGTCTTTTACCAGAACTTGGTATTTCCCAATCACGACCTACACCACTTCATGGCGACAACATTAATGTTATTCAAATTGCAACTAATCCTGTGTATCGTGAGTATACCAAACACATTAAAGTAGACTGTAATTACATTTGGGACGCCTATGATTCCAAGATCATTGCTCTTTCCATGTCTCTACTACTCAACAGGCCGCAGATATCTTCTCTACCTTAACTTGCTAGCGTCATAACTTTCTCGTCCGCAAATTGATGCTCGTGAATTCTCCAACATCAATTTGAGGGGGTATTAGAGGTGTGATTGATTACATAATTCTTGCAGCTTTCCTTGTATAGGCGTGATTGATTGCTTTCCTTTTATATTACCAATTATAACTTTGTTTCCTTGTATATTCATGTAAACATCTATAAATAAAAGACAGAAGAAAAAGAAGAGATCATTCAAAAAAATTGGCAACATAAACATGAAGGACAAAAACAAGCGGTATAACAGATAGCTTTTGAAGGCAACAAAGGAATATTTTCACAATTTCAAACACAATTCATTTACGATGAAGCCGCCATTAGTCAAACTTCTGAACCTTGTTAAGATACTTTTCCACTTTGTCACTATAGGCTTGTGTTCCATTATGGCAAAAATGTACTATTCTACAACTAACAAATTCATCGCTGTGAAAAACTACTACACAAATACAAAGAATATTGGAATTACATCACTAGTTATTCCTTACCTTTGAAGATACGTGACTCCAAGATTCCCAAGGCAATCCAAGTTGTTGGGGACAATATCCAACAAAGATGAAAATACTGATATAGCACCCTAGAGAAGATATTAAATCATTTTCAATCAAGACATCTTACTAGGTAACATGATCATGCTGATAGACAGAAAAAGAATATACATGTCTATTTTCACCTGCAAGCAACCAGTTTTAAGAAGTATCAAACCAAGAGTATTCCAAACAGATGCCTGTCTGACATCGGACTTCATAGACTCCCTCAACTTCAAACAAATTTCATCAAGTTCTTGAGGTTTGAGTTCTTCATCCAAAGTACAATTCTCCAAGCTTTCTAACAATATGCACTTCACGAGTGATGAAACAAGGACCGGGTGCAAGTGAAGTGAACCGTAGTCAACCAGGTGTTCATAGTATAACTAAAAGAGAAAATATTCATGAAATAGTACTTCAGCTAAAAGTTAGTCCACCTGTGCATGGTGAATCTGAACCAGTGACAGCAACTCAGGCCGGTCAATTTCTTCTTCAGAGCGAAGCAATATTTCTGCTGCTTTCTCATAAGCCAGAATCGCCTTCAACAAATTTTCAAAGATGAATGCTACTAAATGCATCAATATGGACTAAATAAAATCCAGCAAGATCAACAGGTACCTGTTGAGGTTGACCCATTCTTTGATACATTAAACCAAGTATGAAATGAGCATGCACATTCTTTGGCATCTTTCGTGCAACATGTACCAACCCCTAACAGCATATATGTCGGTCAATGCTTACAGCACGTAAATCAAGTTGAGATAATAAGCAGAGGTGCAATAACTTATTAACTACAATTCCTTTAACTCAGTCAAGAGTTCATGAAATGTTGATAAATGAGTCAAAATCCTGATCCCTCTTTTGAGATTCATTCCATTCAAGAGCTGAGATACAAATAGATATGGCCCTATGTTAGCTCAATCATACTGTTGACCTAAAGGAGCAAAAAGCATATTTCACCGAGACCTTCAATGTCACCTAAATCTGAGCCATCCAAATGATTTCTAAGATGTTACTGAAGGAGATAAAGATAGAAATAAAGATTAAGATATAAGTTAGATATGATTTATATATAAAGTTTAATTCAAATTGGGTTTATTTTGATTAGATTAGATTCAATAATTCGATAAAGTTCTATTTATTAAATATCCTCTCGATTTAAGAGAGCTCAGAGCAAGTTCTTTTCCTTTTGGCTAAACAAATCTTGTTTCCAAAATCCAATCTCTTCACACTCAAAATAGTTGGACAGTGTCCAATAACCACATTTAATACAAAACAAAATTTAACAAAAAATACAAAAAGAATTCGTTTCGACATCAATCAATGGTGCAGTTTTCTCGTCTTTTTAGTTAACTGAATAAATAAATAAATAAATAAATAAAAGAAGCAAAAATAAAAATAAAAAAAAGTCAAACATGCAGGTTGTTCACTGTCTTCATTGTTCTGATCCATGAAGAAAAAAGAAAAAAACTGTTCATTTGCAGAATTGCGCTCGCTGCTCTGATTTATTGCTCCATATAACATACATCCAACCCACCACAATAACATACCAGACCCTCAAAACAAGCCCATCTCATAAAGCCCAATTCATAACCACCAATTCAACCTCAAACATCCGGCACAAGTTAGAATCAATTCAAGCCAACGCAACATCACAGCCCACATATATCGAAAACCTAACCCATTAACCTCCTAAACAAAGCTCAACCCAACAAACTTCAATTCAAAGTATAGCCCAATCGATAAACCATGTAGACATCACAACTAACAACCCACATACTTAACACTTGCCCAATCAAGAGGACCAATAGTCCAATAATCCAAAAACAAAACTCAGCCCACACTCATCGTCGATAACCCACACAACACCACCACCCTTCAACTTGACCAACCACCATCATTATCATAGCTGTGAGTCAACTCCCATAAACAACTGTCCCCCAGTTCAACCACCATCATCACCATACCCCTGTAAACTTGAATTCAACCATACCCTCTTGCCACTTCCAATCATCGGCTACCAACACCCTCCATTGACCACCACAAAATAAACTATTTGATTGGTCATCAAGTGAAAATTATATTTTCAATATAGTAAATTATTCTCTTACTAGGCTTCATTCGAGCTTTCGATGTTGCAATCATTTTTTTCTACAAAAGCCAATCTACAAAGCTAGTCCCTTGTGCTCCTTATTACGCGCAATCAATTGAAGTTGTTGAAGAGAAGTTACATAATTTTTTACTTCTTGGATTTCCATGTCGATACTTGGTTAGAAGGAAAGGTCATCCCCTTGGTAAGATCGTATTCTTAGGGTGATTTATACATTAAGTTGTTGTTACATGATCAATTTCAATCTTTGATTCAAAAAAAAATATCGTCCCCTTGGTATGAGTTCAGATATATGTTGCTGTCAAGAATTTAGTACAATCATTTGGTCAAAACAAAAGATCAATCTCCTTGAAGTATGAAATTCTAGTTTATCTCGTTGAAGTTGATTTTTCTCAACTGCTGAAAAATTTTGGAAATAGAGATAAAAGTTAGATATGATTTAATATGGAGTTCAATTCAAATAGGTTTTTTAGATTACATTTAATAATTCGATAAAATTCTAGTTTATTAGATATTCTTTTGATTTTAGTTTCTTTGCTATATATAGGGCTAATACAATATAATAGACACACTTGAATATACATGATAAATTTATTTTTCCCTTAACCTAATTTTTCTTCTTCTTGGATTTCCTTTCTTCACTGTTTGTTGTCAAATTATTACACTCCTACGTCAGCTACACTTAACTTCCTACCCATGACAGAATATACACACGTCCGAATTACAATGTCAAAAATACTACAGTTCAATCACTCAAAATTTGAAAATAGAGAAGGCAAAAACAGTAGAAAAACACCGCACAGAGTTCAGGCTGCTTTTTTTTTTCTTTTTTTTTTTTAAATCAATTTTATCTAAGAAGCAGCATTGCAGATAAACAAGGATAGGGTGGAGGAAGAAAACCTTCACACCGGAAGGATGTCGACCTTTGTATTTGGTGCTCTAGTGTTTGTGTATTAACTTTTTTCCTGTCGGGTATATTGTGTGCATATTTCATTTCATTTCGTATCTCCTTGATCATATGGAGAGGAGGTGCAATAGCATGTCAAAGAGGTAAAAAGTTGCTCACGGTTTTGAGGCTGCTAACTTTTTCCTCGCGAGAAGTGGAGTTCCCTTGACCATTTTGGTCAGCATCTATATCAGCTCCACTGCAATCAGGAGGGTACTCGGCTTTACTAGTTCTTGAACGGCATTTCCCCAACCTTTTCACTTGTGATGCTTCTGCATCCATAGCCTCTGCATTTCCCATCAAGCTCATTTTATCTTGACTGTTCTCATCATTAATAACCCTACAGATCCAGACAATCACACTATATATTAAAATATAATAGTGAATTTTCTAAATGACTGACAAAGTTAAATGTTCTCTATTTGTCTCATATTCAAAACTAAGCTGAAAGTTGTGTTTTACGTACTTCTTCAATAATACCCCATGACATGTTACATATTTGGGCGAAAGCTTTTACTTAGAAAGCACTACAAAATTGGGATCATCTTTTCTTGGGTAATCTTGTCATAATCACCCAACAGGGCAAACAAATACCCCCCAGATTGAAAGTAAAAATTTCCAAAAACAGATAACAATTTAATGTTGCTCTTACCTCAAAATCGAAAATCTTGATTTAACCTGTCCACATTTCTTACGTTAAACTTACAAAGTTGTGTTTTATGCACCTTCTTCAATAATTTCCATCATCATGTACTATAAAGAGATTCATTGGGCTAAATCGGGATTGTTTTGTTGAAGTAGGCAGGGGATTCTACGTAGGGAAAGTGAACATCAATTTCAGATGTCAAAAGGAAGCCAATCAATACAGAACATGAAAAATACTTGTCAATCCGGATGCTGCCTTTTGTTGATTCTTTTTCAACAAGCAGTTAAATTGACATCCAGTGTTTCACAATGCATTCCAGACAAATAATCTTTAACATCACAGCATGAGACACATTCAATATATTATTTTCACACTACAAGACCTCAAATTCCCCCAGAAACACAAATTATTGTAGCCCATTTACCAAAAGCAGCATTAATTTCATCATTACTTCCCTATATACCTTTATTGCCATATACACACAAAAGTTTTTATTCATCTTTATCATTTTGGACTTAAACCCACAACGGATAAACAACAGAACATAAAAAAGAAACTACAAAACTCTAGCTCATGAATTAAATGATAAAGACAAAGACCTAGAGACATTTAGAGAATAAGTAGATTGGAGGTCGGAATCCAGCGGCTCAGCGTTAAGGTCGGTCAAAACAGCGAGTCTCGGTGGCTGTGGAGTCGGCGCATGCGGTGGAGGTGGCTTTATGGTGGCATCGTTGCACGGAGGCTCCGGTTTCACGGCGGCAGAGTGAAGTTGGGACATTGCAGAAAATGTTTAAAAAGATATTTTAGCCTGAAAAATGTTGACTGAAATAGGTTTCGGTTTTGTGGTCGGCGGTGAGTTAGACCAATTTGGTAATTTCCATTTAAAGGACTAAAATAAGGATAGTAGCCAAAAAAAAAACAAAAATGTAGTTCAATTTTTATTTTTTATACAACATTTTAATTGTATTAAGGTTCTTAATTTTTCATGTCATTTTTATTCTCAAACTTTTCATTAATTAACACATTTTATAATCGATAACAATTTCATATTTAAAAGTTTGTTAAAATGGCGTAAAATAACTTATTTTTCCATTATATTTAAAAAAAAAGTGATAAAAATATTATTTCCTCATTTCAAAGCATGAAAATAAAATATTTTCATATAAATCATCATAAAAAATGAGACTTACAAATTAATAGAAGGTTAAAAATAAGAATTCGACGAAGAAAAATTAAAGAAATAATTGTTACAATGAGTAAAGATTAAGAGGTTTAACTGTAATTAAAACGTGGTGTTTAAATAAAAATTGTTTCAACAATATAATCACCCTAAAAGAATAAGCCCTCGAGCTCTCAAAGTGTGTGTGTGTGTGTGTGTGTGAGATACCAAAATGGGCCAAGGAAGGGAAGAGTAGAAGTGAAAATTAAACAAATGTTTGAAAATGATAAATTTGAACAATAAAAAGAGTATCAATAACTACTTCTTGATCCAAATCTTTTACAAGATAAAAAATATTTTTGAAGCAAATATTTGAATTACAAACATGATCTTTTGAAAGTTTATATTGAATATTGAGTTTTTTACCACTAGCACCATAAAGACGCTCAGTAATTTTTTCAAAATATTTTGTAGGTATCAATCCTTCACGGATATAATTTTGATCAGCTCCAGAATTAATAAGGACTCTAGAAGTGAATTTGAATTCTTTGTTGACTACAATAGTCATATTGCAGTACCATTTTTTTAGTTGAACATGATTAATAACATTAATCATTTCTTCTTCAGATTAAATATTTGAAGGAATGAAAGGATCGAATTCTTAACCAGAAGAATTGGAAGATGATGAATAAGAAGGAGTCTTTGACTTTAACTTCTTATCTTGAGTTTTGAGAAGGGAAACTTTTATTCTAACATCTTTCATTTAACTTTCAAAAATAGAAATTTGAGATTTCATAGAATTGACTTCTGATTTTAAATCAGAACTGGAATATTTTGAAGTTTCAAAGTGATTTAAAACATTTTTCATATTGAAAGGCTTAACTTTTGAATTTGAAAGAAGAATGGAATTAAACTTATTTTTAAGTTGTGGATAATCAATTTGATCTACAATCTCTTTAATAAGTTCTTCTTATTTAGTAAGAACATTTATAATTTTACAACCACAAAATTCTTTACTTTGACTAGAAGATGATTGAGAATTTGAACTAGATTCAGCATTTGAATCTTCTTGATGTTGATAAACATGTTCTAACTCTGAGTTAGACTCATTACTAGAACTGGAATTTGAATCAATAAAATTGAGAAGTTGAAGTTTCATATCTTCATCAATTTGAAGATTATTAATCTTGCCTTTGAAAGAACACTTATTAGAATAATGTCCAGATTTTTGACATTTCCAACAAGTTACATTGCTTTTTCTTGAAAATCTTTTCTTTTCAAATTTCTTTTTGGAATAATGTTTTCAATAAAAATGTTTTTGAAAATACTTTTCTTTTGAGTAAACTTTTCTTTTTTTATTTTTTTTAAAGGAGGAATAACTTTCTCAATTTCATATTGTTCACAGAATGATTCAAGTTCTTTTCGACTATCTAATATTTCTGTTTGCAATTTGAATTTAAATTTGAGTTCATTATAGAGTGTTAATCCTTCTCTGTTAAAGAAACAAATCAATTCTCCATACGAAAGATCACCATTTGGAATATTATTTGAATATTCTTTTTTAATTGAATTTTTGACTCTTTTAAAAAATAATTTTGGAAGTCCAGATAAAAATCTTTCTTTCCAATAAGTTTGATTACAATCTTTTCATAAAAATACACGTGTTAAAAATATGTCTTTATACCAACGAAAATCTTGTAAATTTGAACAACTTAAAATTGACAAAATACTTGAAACTTTTTCTAAAACATCTGTTGGAGATCCAATAAAATGTTTGGCAATACAATAAATTACTGTATTGAAACTATCACTTAAACCATTAGGTTTGATAGTTTGAGCAATTTGATTTTTCTCTTGGTCAGAAATATAATTGAACCACCAATTATTTAATTGACCAGCAAAACCTTGAGTAATATTGTGAGTTGATTCAATTGGAGAAATTCCTTCCTGAATATAGCCATTATAACGAGCATCCATTCTTTCAAGAATTTCAAAATTTTGATATTCGGTTAAACCATTTATATTCCAGATAGTTATACCAGTACCAAAGAATGTTGTAAGAATTTTGACTTTTTGTTCGAAAAGTAAATCTGCAGGAGTATTTTTTGGATAATAAGGAGGAACTTTTGAAAATTGAGTTTTTCTACCTTGAAATTTATTGATTTGAGGAACTTCATCATCAATAAATTGAGATTCAATATCGTCAATAGTATTGATGTTATTTGAAGTAGAAGATGATGATATTTTTGATAACTGAGTAGTAAGTTCTTTAAGAACATTAATCTCAGTTTTGAGACCATTTTTAGGTTTAGCCTTACGCCTGTTAATTAAAATTGGCTCTATTGGCTTAATACCTTTTGAGGATGATAATATCTCAGGTTCAGAATTTATTTCAATTATGTTAAGCTGAGAACAGACAAATTGAAGAACTACATTAGTGTAGTTATTTTGAACTTGAATTTTTTTATATCTTTAACAACAACTTGAGTTTTTTCAGGTCGTTCTTCAGATATCTTTTTGAAAGGAGATGCACGAACTTCATTACTTCCATGTGGAATTACAATCTCTTGAAAAAAAAGGATGAGAAGATTGAATATTCTCACCAGAAGGAGTTTTCCAAGTCTTCTGTGGAATATTAGTAACTTGAATAGATTTTTCTTTCTTGATTTTGAAGAAACTTTTGAAAAAGTAGGTTTTTCATTAAAAACTTTGAAATAAGTCCATTCATAAAAACTTAAATCTTTAGGGAATTCATAAAATTATTTCCAATAAGATTCTCGTTTTTCATTTGAAAAACTTGGACAAAATATTTTTCAAAAAGTTTTAACATCAGGAATTTGATCAGTTTTGAATTCATTTCTTCTGTCAATACTTGAAGAAGTAACATTTGTTTGATGATCAAGTCTTTCATTTTTAGAAAACATATCAGAAAAAGTTGGAGATTTAGGTTGTTCTGATTTTTCTTCTTTTTCTGCTTCTTTTTCGATATATTGAGGTTTGGAATATTTGGAGTGAAATCAACACTTGAAAGAGAAGATGTTGAAAATATAGTTGATTGATAAGAAGTTCTAGGTTTATCTTCATATCTAGAAGAATAAGATCTTTGAAACCTAGAGGAAGATCATTTGAAAGTCATTTTTTAACGTTTCAATCTGGAAAAGTAAGAATTTGATTTGGAATTGTTTGAACAGGAGCAAAAATAGGATTTTGAACATTTACAAAATTTCATTCTAATCCACGAGTTTGAAGATTATAAGGAATTCTCTTGGGAATCATGGTATTTTAATGAAAAAAATTACATTCAACCAAAAGACTTTCATCTTTAGGAGATGAACGTAAAACACCAATATTGAGTTGAGTATTCATGAGCTTATAATATATCATGTATATTACAACAAAAGCATTTGAACGATTATCGAAATCGAGTGTTTGGTTTGAATATGGAGATTTAGAGCATTAAAAATAGCTCTATCATTGAAATTGATTGAAAATTTTAAATAACAATTTGAATAAATTGGACCACTTTCTAGATTTGACTCTAGAACGGATAATAATGAATTTTCAAATTTGAGGACTCTCTTATCTCTAAGAGTTAAGAGAATAGGAATGTCTAACCCAAGTTGAAACAAAGATTTGACAGCAATTTGAACTAATCTAACATGAAGATATTTGAATTTCTTCCTGTGAGATTCAATTGATTCTTTTGAAAATAAATTGATATGAGCATTTTGATTTTAAAATGATAATGTTTGTTCAAAAGTTTTGATAACAGAATTTTGAGTAAAATCAAACTTTTCAATTTCATAGAAATAATTATTTTCTACCTTTGGAATTGTCCAGTTATGCAATCTTTATTCAATTTGAGCTATTTGAAATTGATGACTGTTGAAATCATTTGATGCATATGATGTAGATGATTGATCAATTTTTTCTTCATTTTGAAAAACATTTGAAATATTTTTAGATCTATTTCTAGACCTTTGAAACCAATTTGAAAAAGAGGACATAATTAAATTCAATGAAATTATAACAATTTACCACGATAAAAACAGTTAAATAAGATAGACTGATTCTTACCAAACCTACAAACGAGACCACCCTAACACGCCTTCCCGGGTTAGAAATGGACTGACCAACTTTTATTCAGTAGACATCCTGGAATCAAATCAGGTTCTCCCATTTGAACAGTGCCTATAGTGGTACCAAAAGGGCCTATGAGGGGAAGAGTAGAAGTGAAAATTAATCAAAGGTTTGAAATGAATAAAATTTTATTGATATATGAAAATTAAAATACAAATATTGAAATGAACTTTGAATTACAAGATTGAAAAATAAAGATAGTAAAAGAATACAAAATATCACAAACTATCTTGAGAATGATTTATTTCCCGCTAAATTCACTCTGAGGAGATCTTCAATACTTGATCTTCTTATATACTTGAAATTTTGAGCTCCGGATTTGAAAATTTCTTCAATTTGGAGAAGAAATTTTAAATAATTGTATCTTTTGAAACTTTTGCACCGTCTATTTGCAAAAGTTAAAAACAAGAAAATTCTTAAATCCACTTTTCTTTGTCTTCCACTTTGAAAAATTGACGTCAACTTTAGTCATAACTTTTGACTATTTGATTGATCATTTACCTCTTGAATTTGTTCATCACTTTTGAAAG